ACATCAATACGATCATTGATATCAGACATCAATACGATCATTGATATCAGACATCAATACGATTATTAATATCAGACATCAATATGATTATTGATATCAGACATCAATACGATCATTGATATCAGACATCAGTAAGATCATTGATATCAGACATCAATACGATTATTAATATCTAAACATCTAAAAGATCATTGTCCCACTGCTAGTGTTCCATATGATGCTCCTTGTCCTAGTGTTACAAATTCTTCTTTATTGTCCTAACATTGTTCTAAATTATCTTTATTGTCCTAACATTGTTCCAAATTATCTTTATTGTCCTAACATTGTTCCAAATTATCTTTATTGTCCTAACATTGTTCCAAATTATCTTTATTGTCCTAACATTGTTCTAAATTATCTTTATTGTCCTAACATTGTTCCAAATTATCTTTAGATTACTTTGAAACCCGATAATATAGACCTTGCATTTTTCAAACTATGAATACTGTTAGATCAAATAAACTAAGCTTGAAATATCAAAGTTTAGCACCATCATATGGCAGAGATGACAAAATTTGAGCTTGCGGCGACGAATCAACTCCTTTTACAAAACTTAATTTTTTGTTTTTAAGAATTTAAATTTTCATTCAAAATTGGTACAAAGTGTTTGATTTTTTACAAGAAAACATTGTGATTTATACAAATATTTTGTTTAAAGCCTTTATTCTAAATGTAATGATGTTTAAAATGATTATTCTGGGAATTTGATTCTGAAATAATGAATGTTAAAACATATATTATCATATATATATATATATATATAGTTGTTGGAGTTAATATTTCATGTAAACCTATCATAAAACAGTTTCTGCCAAATAAAATGTAATTTTTCATGTTTACTTTTATATGATTAGGGTTGAAATAATTAGTACGGAGTTGATAAATGTCCAGCAAATAGGGACATTTTTCATACTCAGCCTGGACACTTTAATACTATTAAGAGTACACTTACACCAATTAAACTAGACAACTTATGAAATTATTTTTTAGAAATTAACGAAACTAGTTTACAGAGTTTGGGAAATCATGAAGATTCTGACAAATGAAAATATTTTTTTTAACAAAATAAAATTATTATTGATATTTTGCAAGATGTCTTCTTAAATATCTATTCACATATACATGTAGATCACTGAAGTTAATGATAATTTACTTGATTAAACCACATCTTTAATATCGATTCACATATACATGTAGATCACTGAAGTTAATGATACTTTACTTGATCAAACCATAATATCTATTCACATATACATGTAGATCACTGAAGTTAATGATAATTTACTTGATTAAACCACATCTTTAATATCGATTCACATATACATGTAGATCACTGAAGTTAATGATACTTTACTTGATCAAACCATATCTTAAATATCTATAATTCACATATACATGTAGATCACTGAAGTTAATGATAATTTACTTGATTAAACCATATCTTAAATATTTATTCACATATACATATAGATCACTGTAAATAATGATAATTTACTTGATTAAACTATATCTTCATTATCTATTCATAAACATGTAGATCACTGAAGCTAATGATAATTTACTTGATTAAACCATATCTTTAATATCTATTCATAAACATGTAGATCACTGAAGCTAATGATAATTTACTTGATTAAACCATATCTTTAATATCTATTCACATATACATGTAGATCACTGAAGTTAATGATAATTTACTTGATTTAACCAACGCTTTAAATATAGGTAACTGACATGGTTTTTATTAAGTATGTCTGCAGTTATCTATTGTTAACAGTTGGAGTTTATTTTCAATTACTGAGGAAGATTAATTGCTCTGGGTCCGTGAATAGAACCAGGAGACGGTTTTTGCTCCGGCTGAGGGAAAAACTAGGGATCCAGATCCAGGATAGGGAAAAACTAGGGATCAAGCTCCTGGATAGGGAAAACTAGGGATCCAGATCCTGGATAGGGAAAACCAGGGATCCAGATCCATGATAGGGAAACTAGGGATCACCTCCAGGATAGGGAAAACTAGGAATCCAGATCCAGGATATGGAAAACCAGGGATCCAGATCTATGATAAGGAAAACTTGGGATCAACCTCCAGGATAGGGAAAACTAGGGATCCAGATCCAGGATAGGGAAAACCAGGGATCCAGATCCAGGATAGGGTAAACTAGGGATCCAGTTACAGTATAGGGAAAACTAGGGATCCAGATCCAGGATAGGGAAAACTAGAGGTCTAGGTCCAGGAGAGGGAAAACTAGGGATCTAGATCCAGGATAGAGTAAACTAGAGATCTAGGTCCAGGATAGGGTAAACTAGGAATCTTGGAAAAGAATAGAAAGCTTAGAAAACAAGATGTATACGTTAATTGAATAAGAAAACATAAATGAAACTCAGCATTATTTTGAATCTAGAAGAGGTTGTTTTATGTGATGAATAAATAGATTCAAAAGATTGATAAATTAATCATGTTGTTTACATATAAATTTTTTCATGGTTACATTTTTAAAGGTGTCAACCCTTTAAATCCTGTACCTATTCGTAAAAAAATATTTCTTTCCTTTACACATTTACGTAAAAATTTACGTAAAAATATATTCTAATTATTCCCGGGTAGAATCTTAGAGTCTGAAACCTAGTCT